ATTCAATTGAACCACGAGCAGGGAATTTACTATGGACTTTCCTTCTACATGGAGATAAGACCCAGGCACCCACTGATGAGCATTTAGACAGGTAGACATTGCATTGCTTCTTCTTCCCATAACATGATTTTAGTTTTGAAACTCTAGCACATATACCACCTATTTTTCAGAAGACGGATTTCCATTCCCCAATTTAATGTGAATTTGGCACTGGGGAAAGCTATTGGAAACCCCACTGATTTGCACATGACATGTGAGTGACATTTCACCTGCACGCTTTTACTTTGATTTGCAGCAAAGCGGGAACACACCTTCAAGGGGATTACGTAGATCAGGCTCAAGGTTTATGCTATTTTTGACCTTCCAGTGAATAAGGATGCTAGTGAGCACTACCTGTGAAAGCTCTGAAGGGAAACCGTCCATTCAAACCTGCATGACAACTGCTCTGCTTAATTCTTTTAACTGAACACAAACTATTCACAATATTTTTGGATGACCTGAACTGAAGACTGACCTTAAAAAAAAAAAAAAAAGGAAAAAAATAATCCTCTTTAATCTGAAGTAATTCACAAAATACATCAATAGACACTCAAATGTTCTCACAGAAACAAATGCTAGATCTTAGTGACTCCAAAAAATACAGCACAGTAGTTTTGCAGAATAACTTGTTCTGAAACAGCCCCCTACCTGTCCCGGCATAGACACAACTCCCAGAATAAAAGTCCCTTGGGAAGCAGGGAAATTATTCTGACAAAATGTTGCTTTTATTATGAATTGAATCTGCGCAGAATGGAAAGGTATTTGAGAATTGCTTATTTCAGTCGATTACTGTGCGTAGACAAAACTTCAATGACAAATGGGTTTCAAGTGGCAAATATTATTACTTTCTTTCTTTGCTTTTTTTTTTTTTTGAGAGAAGTACTTTATGTACTTTGTAGGTACAAGGTTAAAAGAACCTTTTCAGCTACAAATATTCAAAATAAAGGTGTGCCTTTTGTGGCCTTATTAGCAATAATTCTTTCAAATAACTGAAATGTATAATCATATTGTGCAGTGCAGGGACTAAAACATATGCTCAGTTCTGCATTTGTAACCAGTAGCGCTGGTTTGCATTCAGGTACCCAGCCCCTGAATGGTCCTGCTGGGCTATCAAGCATCACCTCTGCTGTTGCAGGCACCATGTCAGATCCCCCTCAAACCCTCTGACTTCGCCTGCGGGCAGCAAAGGCTTTATGCCACCTCCAGTTTGACTTCCGGGGGTTGGCACTTTCTTCTTATTTTATTTACAGTTTAAATTACTGACGGCCAAACAATACTCAATTATTCTTCAGCCGAGATCTCTCTTCAGTTTAAGTACCTCCTGTCTCTCCTACCTAATAGTTAGAGACAACAATTTTGTCCTCTCTGTCCATTCGTTTTGCTAAGCAAAAGCAGCTTTTCTGATCTGGGCTCGTGTACAGCCCAACTGGGTCCTCTGCACCCTGCCTCCGCTTGGAGTTCATCCTTCCTGACCCCCTCAAGCGCTGAAGTCCAAACCATGAGGTATGCTCAGTGGGTTTTATCCAGCGCTACGTATGGGTGAAGTGGGAAAGAACCAGCAATAATACAATTAAGACCTAGAGAGGGGAGGAGGAAGGGGAAAATAAATTAAACTAGAACATAGATAAGGCAAGTTTTCTATGGGGTCTCTGGAAAGCAAAATCTCAGTGACCTGACATCGTCCCTCTCTTAACGTGTTTATCCCCCTGCCCCAATCCCGTATGAGTCCCGCAAATGATTTTCAGATGATGTGCAGGCAGCTGAGCACACAGAGGGGGCATTTTGGCTTCATCCTTCCAGAAATCACCTTTCTGTGCCTCACTCAGAGGCAACGGCAGGACTCGCCCGCTCTCATAAACCAGTGCTTCAGCTGAATACACTTATTTTACAGTAAATATTTTACAGGCTGCTCTCAGCGGCTGTGGGTTTGCATTGTAACAATTAAACCTCGGTGCTGGGAGCGCACCAGTAGCTTGGAGCAGGCAGAGCTTTTCCCGATTATTACACATCTCTTTCTGATATTTTTCTGCCTGATTAGTAACCACTTCTGACAAATCCTTTCGACAGCTCTGAACACCAGCCTTAGCGTCGCAGGGATGCTTCACGCAAAGCCTGACTGAATGCAAATGTTAGGCTAATGCAAGGATGCCTGACAGCATCCGAGCATTTTCTTCACTGGACACCAGAGGGAGGAGGAGGAAAGGACAACTGACAGCGAAGCTAAAGAAGAACTGCTTCAAGAGCCCTGAAGGAGCTTATCAGACATCGGAGCCAAATACATTTCTGTAATTGGACCAAAATAAATAGCGGCACCTTGTCTGGGGATGGTACTTCTGATAAAAGACTTTGCAGGGGTAACATGAGGTAAAGTCACGGGAGAAAGGACCCAAGCGCAGCAGCACTGAGTGCCAGGTGCCTTTTAGCCAGCTCCATCTTACAAGCTTTAAACAAACCCGACTGGTTTTGATGCTGTCCACGTGCTGCGCGGCTTCTGTGCCGCAGCTTCTGTGCTTTGCGGTCGCGCCTTCTTCTGGATGTGAAGAAAAACGCATTCTGGTGCTTAACTGTGGATCCAGGGTCACCACAGTTTCTGAGTCCCGTACCACGAGAGCGTGAAATTTGGAACTGCAAGTGCCCTATGCTGAGATGGAAATGTCAGGACCTTGAAGAAGGGAGGGAGGCAGATCAAGGAGAGTGATGCAGCATCTATCTAGGAAGGTGATAGCAAATGCTCAACATGTGGTTAGTATCTTGATTAAATAAAAAAAGAAGAGAGAGATTCAGCAAGATTACCAGGGAACTATTTACTATCTTATTAAAACTATGCTTTTATTTCCTCATCAAATCTTTTCATTATGCCTTCAAGGCATAAGGAGGATTATTAAATGTCAGCCACAATTCAAATAATTAATGTATGGTGTTACCAGATATATATATGCTCTCCAGGAGGATTAATAATAGCTTCTATTTTTCTTCCAACCATATTTTCTCCATAATACATATATTAATCATGAGAACACAGTGCATTTTTTTAAACCTCTCTAGTGTTGAAAGTCTTTAAGGAACTCACACTTTGAAAACTGGAGAATTCTTAGCATATTCTCTTCTTTTTAATTCAGTATCAAAATACGAAACCACAGTAAACACTTGGAAAGGAAGGGGTATAAGAAAGGCAGTGCTTTCTCCAGAGCTGCTATTCATTGCAGAATCAATGTCCTCAGTTCCTTGAAACAGGTCTTTAAAAACAACAAACCGGAGTTGCAAATTCAGAAAGCAGCTTGTCCCCCCATTAAAACGGACTGGTTTTTGTTGCTAACTTACTGCAATCAAAACATTTTAGAAGAGGCATCAGAAAAGTGCCTTTATCTCAAACACTCCTCCCAGGGCCGGCTGGGGGCTGCCTCCAGCACCTACCTGTGCAGCGTGCTCGTCCCTGCGAGGCGCTGGAGCACCAACGTGCCTGTTGTCTGTACAAAACGCCGCATGGGAAAGAAAGGGAGCACAGCTTTGCCCCTCTCAGATCCCCGCTGCCCATGCCAGAGCAGGGAGAGGCAGAGCCGATCCTTCTGCTCTTCTTGACTTGGCACTCAACAGCCGACATGGACTTGCCCTGCGAGCCTGGCGCTAACTCTTCCAGTGATTTTAATCCACAGGCTAAAAGCGTGCTACCTCAGGTTACTTTGCACTTACTATGTGCAGGGGAAGAGCTCCTGCGGATGGCCTGACCCACTGACAGGTTACCCACCAGCCCTGCTCCCGGGTGGGCTGCAGACATACTGCTCGGGGGGGTGTTTCTTGTACCTGCCGCTGGCCTCTCAGCAATGCAAGCAAAAATGAGCTCAGCTCCCGACTGCACAGCAAATAAACATGTCCACAAGTAACGCTTCAATTGCTTACAACTTGGAGAAGTTTAACTTCTCTCCTCCACTCCCAGCTGTAACCCAGGTGTAACCCCTCCTGTCCTGGTTTCGGCTGGGATAGAGTTAATTTTCTTCATAGTAGCTGGCATAGTGCTGTGTTTTGGATTTAGTACTAGAAGAATGTTGATAACACACTGATGTTTTTAGTTGTTGCCAAGTAGTGCTCAGACTACTCAAGGACTTTTTGAGCTTCTCCTGCTTGGCCAGGTGCATAACAAGCTGGGAGGGAGCACAGCTAGGACAGCTGACCCAAACTGACCAAAGAGCTATTCCATACCATGTAACGTCATGCTTGGGGGGCGTTAGTCGGTCAGTCGGTGGCTTGGGGACTGATTGTTGCTCGGGACAGGCTGGGCATCGGTCGGCGGGTGGTGAGCAATTGCGTTGTGCATCATTTGTTTTGTGCATTCTGTATATGCTCTTACCATTCTCATTATTACTATTATTATTATTTTCTCTTATTAAACTGTCTCTATCTCAGCCCATGGCTCTAACCTTTTTTTTTTTTCCTTCCTGATTCCCTCCCCTATCCCACTGAGGGAGGGGGCAGTGAGCAAGTGGCTGCATGGTGCTTGGTTGCCAGCCTGGTTAAACCACGACATCCACAGTGAAAAGTCATTGGATACCTGATTTTGAACACTGCAAATTACAGAACATATCACAAGCCTCTTCCATCTCTCAAAACAGCTCAAGAAATGTCCATGTTGTATTTAAAATAGTATTTATGAGCATGAGATTAGGGTTTGTTGTGTAAGTAAAGGGGTAACCATGCCAGCCTTTCGTGCATTACCGGAAGACATGTGTAGCACATGTGTGCATGGGAACTGCATGCACACTCCCCCCAGTGCAGCATCAAACAATAAATCATTTTAACCACCTATGTGACCTGACAACAGCCAGCATGGGGCAGTTCCTCACCTCAGGACATAAACCATCTCTACACAGAAGCTAGGAGAGAAGGTCTTTCATGACATGCAATTTTTTTTTTTTTTTTTTTTAAATTTCAAGAAGAAATATTTTAAAGCCGTTTTGAAGACTCACCTCCTCGCTGCACCAGCAACGTGACTTCGCTTCCCTTAGGACATTCAATCAGCATATCCACCACCTGGTTGTGAGTGAGGCTCTGCACATTCTTCTTGTTGACTTCGACTATAAGATCGCCCTCCTTCAGGCCGCGGCACCGTGGGCTGTCCACAATCTGTTTCACTCTTTGGCCGCCCCCACCGGGGCTGTCTGCTATAGTGAACCCAAAGCCCATAGGCCCTTTCACTATATGCACAGTTATGAGTTCAGGTTGTGTTGCTATCGAAGACGCCAAAGAGACCGTGTCATTGGGGTAACCATGGGGTCCGTTGGAAGAGACCTCAGCTGGGCTGCTGGGTCTTGCTTCCTTTGTGCCATTTACTTTCCCTGTTTTACTGCTGTGGCTCGCCGGGGAGTCATAATTTTCCTGCCCGTTCACGATGATCGGCTCTTTGTCCAGAATTGCCACAGACGTAACCAGGCTCGTGTTGGGATCATCGGGATCGAAGGGCAGGGGGTAGCCTCGGCACAGTTCGAGGTCCACGCTGGCGCCGATGGGGATGGACTGGAAGATTTTCACAACTTGAGCGTGAGTGTGCCCCAGCACACAGGTGTCGTTCACGCTGACTATGACGTCCCCTGCGGAGGACACAGACAGATATACCAAACACATACGTTTGTGCCTCCCGGGAAGGACTAGAGCCTGCGAGCTGATCCGCAGCAACCACGGATACACTCACAGGTGAACAGCAGCATTTAAGCACCTTTGTGAGGAAAAGGAGCAGTGGCCCTTGGGCAAGCAAGACCTATCGGTACACAACGGATTCGCTGCATAAAGCCTTTCTGTACATAAACGTTTCTGAAACGTTCGTTCCAATGATGGTATATGGCCCATTTAACAGTTATGTCGAAGCACGGCTCTCACTGTTACACACTGTGCTACGCTGACATACGATAGAAACAAAACTGAGAGCACATGAGAGCTGTAACAGAAGGCTCTCAAATACCAACTGCTGACGTATGGTGCCATGTGTCATCTCTCAGACACACTTCGGCCTGAAATCGAGGTGTCGATCAAGTTATGACTCGCTTTCTAGCAGTGGGGCCAGCACGCAGGCATGTCTGACGCTGTGATGCTCCACCTGCAAGCGAGGAGTTGTGACCTCAGGTGAATCCTAACAGGATTTCACGATGCTGGGCCCGAGCCCTGGCAAAACAAACTCACCCTTGGTGCCTCCACACGGGGAAATGCAAACTAGCCCACTCCTCTGCCCCTTACCCGGGAGCAGCTTTGCAGGGGGGGGAGTGGCACGGCAGGTACAAGACCCAAGGCGATGCAGCCCTACAGAAACGCCGCAGCCTGACGCGGGACCCCACGACCACTGGCTCCTCTCTGCAGGTCAGCCCAGGGAGAGCAGGTGCTGGCAGAGCCCCAGCTGGGTATTTTGACACCTGGGGTGAATTTCCGGCATGTGACATGCCTTGCTATAACATATCCTTCGAACATATCCTTCAATGTATCTCGCTTCCTTGCTTGCTGATTGGAAAGCTGAATGCCTTTCCCCAAAAAAGGGATGAGGACTAAAGTTCTTTATGAATTGCACAGCAAACCAGCTGCAAAAACATAAACCAAAGTGGCGGTGGTGGTTTTGACATAAAGCATCAGTACCTGTTTCCATTTTGCCATCCAGTGCTGCGGGGCCGTCAAGCACCAAACTTTTAATTTGGAGAAATTCATCCGGCTCATCCCCTCCAACGACGGTGAAGCCAAACCCCCTGCTGCTTTTCCTTAGCTTGGTGTGGATGAACTTCCCTTTCAGCTCCGAAGGGTTTCGTGTAAAAAAAGGTTTTCCTGTGTAGGAAGTTTGGAAAATCTATAAACAGGCAGGCACGAGTGTTTGATCTGTTTTTCCTCTGCCCCTCCCCGCTCTAACCAGTACCCAGACAAACACAGCAGTGGGCTGGGACGGGACTGGACTTCACTCCAGCATCCTCTCGCCTCCTTGCACTCCACCCGTCTCCCTGGATCCAATCATGCGGTAAAAAGAGTGAGCAAAACACCTTGTACCTGGTGCTGTCTTAGCTGTGGTTGCGCACACCAAAGCCCCACGGCTACAAAGGGCTGCTTTAAGGAATGCGATATTTTAAAGTTGGCAATGCTGGCTTAGATATGTGTCTGATCTCTGTCTTGAGGTGGTTATACCCACCCCAGGAAGGCTGGGACAGGGGCAGCCCCAATGCCTCCTGCAGAAGGAGCGTGCAGCGAGAATTTCTCCAGAAAGGAATATCATTATGTTTTTCACCACTTGCCTTTCTTCCCAACCCACCAAGCAAAAAGCAACTTCTGAGCTGTGGCAAGACACTGCGTAACCCTTTAGCATCACCCGTCCGCCCCACCATCGCTACCACCCTGTGACCTCCTCCGGTGAAAAAGGGGAGGGCGCTGATGTTGTTCTGCAGACACTGTTTGAAGTCTTTTCTCTTCCCTTTCTGCTCCTCGCCTGTTGCGGATGAAACACTGCTGTTGTGAAGTATGGATCAAAGGGCGGCCCGGGACGAGAGCGGCTGTGCTGGAGGGCTGGGAATGCTCTCTGGGAGCACGGTTAAGAGAGAACGAGGTACTCCAAAGGCAAAAGCGCATCCTTGCAAAGCGTGTTGCACAGGCTCGGAAAAGGAATCGCAGTTGCTGTACTTCACAGCACCAACATTAAACACCTTTGCACTTTTAATTGTTTTTAATACGTAGAGGGGAAAAGACTGTGCCACTAAGCCCTCTGGTGACAGCTCCAGGATCAGCAGTGTGCATCGCAGCCAGGAGAGCTGGCGCACTTTCAAAAACCTCGGCAGCATTGCCGTGGGCCTCTGTTCAGAAAGGAGACCTTGAGGGAGGGTGAGGGGATTTGAGACTTGTAAGCCTTTGACTGGGGGTGGGGGCGGGGGGAGAAAGTACATTTGAAGATTATTCATGAGGGAGCAGCGTGAGGACTTGCAGCCTTCTGCCTTTGAAGGGTAGCGCAGGAACATGGTAATCCTGCACGTCGTGGGCAGATGCTCAGACCCTGAGCTGCAAAAAAGCCCTGACTATCAAAGTGCAAGCCAACGTCTCAGGAAGCAAACACGGCTGGGACGCGGCGAGCAGTGGGGCTCGGGCCCGTGCGGATTGCTGGTTCAAAAGGCAAGCAGAACAAACACAGCTCCCTGGCACCCGCCTACAAATCCAGGGTAAACTTGCCCTGCAGTAACAGGATAGCAGCACCGCAGGCTATGTCCCACCTACAGCATTTGGGAGGGGATCACATTTTAAATGAGCATTATCTACAAAGCCCCAGCTGGGAGAGTGGTGCCCCACCAGCAGTGCCATCAATGGGAGGGACAGAAACCCCTGGGCATGGGGCAGGGGGACAGGGAAGCTGGAAATTGCTGCAAATGGGGAGCAGGAAAAGGGGGAGCAGCACTGAGAAAGGAAGAGGAAGGAATGAAAGAGAGGAGGAGGCATCAGCGGTACCAGGACACATCACTCAGAGGGCTGCTGAGGCAGGTTAAGGCTCTCCTGTAATCTTACTGCAAAATTTTGTGGCTGGCAGTCAGGAGCGGGTGGAGAACTGAGCGAGGCTTCTAATGTCACCCCTGCGTGACGGGCCCTTTGCATTGACAGGCACAGGCGCTTGGGCAGCCCTCGCTTCAGCCTGACCACCAAAACAGGAGAGGTGGCATTCACAAATGTCTCCCTGCAGAAGACCAGCTGTTTTGGGGCACTCTGATGAGATGCCTATCCCCAGATGCCTGGTGGTCAGGGTTCCATCCCCAGACCTCCCGCATTTTTCCTTGCTGCAAGTCTGGATTACCCTAATGTACTCTAATACCCCTCCAGGAACGTGCTGGGGGCCTTGCGTACTGTTAAATTTTGCACATCTGTTTTAGAAGGGCTGATCTGCTGCCACCTGCAGCAAAGAGCACTCCCTGGCTCTTCACAGCAGGAAAGGCAGCCCGGGAGGGCAGCAGCCTTGCCAGGCTTGCCTTCGGAAACCACGGCTGACCTGCCGAGTACGGGAGTATTTCCCAGCTCCCAGGGCTGACCTCACCCTGGCTGCTCCCAGCTCTGTCGGGATAACGTGCTTCAGCCAGATCTCCCCCCCCACCTTCCCCAGCCTCTGGTTCCTGCAGACCAGGGCAATGCCATCCGCTTGCTATACAATTTAGATGTAGGTGGAGATGAAGCCTACTTACAGCCATTTGTAACCAGAGAGCACTGGGACTGCCAACAGGTACAAGTGGAACTCTCTGCCCTCGCTGGCAACCTGATCTGGCAACGTTTCAGCTCACGCTGCAAATTCAGGAACAATTCATGTCCTGTCTGGTTAATTAAGACAAGCAACTGGTCTGTGAGCAGTTGGCTCTACACAGACCATTGACACTAATAAATAAGGCTGTAATAGCCCAAAGAACGTGTACAAATGTACAACTTCCACAGTATTTGGACCCAGTATCATTTCTTACTCATGCAGAGCTTCCCAGAGGAGCCTCAACTCAGATTTTTCAGAAACACGATATAATTTGCCCCTAAAACAGGGCCAAGGCACCTATGCCTCTTTACCCTCTGTTACTACAGAAAGTCAGATTCAGCATGGAGGCCTGGTAGCTCTGCAAAGCTCTCCAAATGGCAGAAGATCTCCCTCTTCTGGTGTTCCCCCCCAGCTCCAGCTCCCCCCAGATTTTCATTTGGATTCAAAGCACACAAGAAGGAAAATCCATAAAGTTGCAAGCCAGACTTATCCATGTCAATACCAGAACCTGGCTGCTCAGATGTCACAGATGCAACCAAGACACCCAAGCTCTCCAAAACCAAGGTCCCGCCACACAGTGCCAACAACAGATGCACATCACAGCTTCCAAGCACGTTGACCAGTTTCCAGTGCTCTTAAACTACTTCAACTTGAAACTCTACCTGCCCACAAATGCAGACATAGGGTAACATTGGCTTTGGCTCTCAAATTAAAACAAGATCATGTTAATGCATGCCTGTGTCTTAATCACAGAGCAACACGCTGAGATTTTGTGCTGCTTTTTGGGATGGAATGTTGACCTATGAGAACAGAAAGAAAGATCTTACTGTAAGAGCCACATTCTAAACTCAGTTGAGTTTAGAAGGTGCAAAAGCCTAATCCTTGCATATCCATACAGCTCTGTAGAAAAGGGTCTCCTCCTACTTGCACCTGCACCCACTGCAGTTGCTGGTAAATCCCGCCGATGTTGTAACTCATGTTTTCACCATGCTTTTTTAAAGACTTGGAACACTACACAGAGAATAGCCATAATCCTTTTTTGATGCAGGCAATCTCATCATTTGCCACTTGCCTTTGGAGACAAATGCGGTCTCGAAACAACTAGTCTCAAAATCCATGTGAATTCAGATAAGCAGGCACATGCCCTGGTGTATGACGCTAGTGATGGAGATACTGCCTTTGCTGGTGGCTGAGGGAATTTCATTCTCAGGAAAAAACCCCCTTGTTGCACTTTTACAACTGGTTTAACAAGGTTGTTACCTTGCACTGGTGCTTCCCGAACTGCCTCCTGGTTGTTTGAAACATGGTTTGGAGCAGCGGGTGGTGGGAGAGATGGACACTCCTCTGTCCATTCTAGAGAGGGCAGAGAGGGAAATGTTACTCGTTTCACAACAGCACTACAAGCTCCTGCACGTACACACTGGGAGTGCGGGGTTCAAGCAGAGGAGACGTGGGAAGCATGGAAAGAGAGGAAAGAGAGTCACGGAGAGAGGGAATAAAACTAATGGGATGTTCAAAAACGGATTCTGGAGGACTCTCTATGTCCAGGTAATTTGCTGGGACACCCTACTTCACACTCAAACTTGTGACTTGATTTGCATCTAAGTGGTCTCGACATTTATATGAAATCGGTTGCCCATGGCACTCATGGCATCTCAGTAGAAGAGCTGATGTTGCGGGCAATGGGGCTGCAGGAGGAATGTTGAAGCCTAAATTATCTTCCCCTTGAATAATAACTGTTGTGAAATAACTTGGTGTGAAAGCTACAAAGGTACCAAAACAAACCCAAATGCTACAGGCCCCTCACTGCAGTTGGGCTGCATTTAAAGGAAAAAAAAAAAAAAAAAAAAAAAAAAAGAAAAAAGGGGTGGGAGGAGGAAAAGAAAAAAAAAAGTTTTAAAATAATTAAATTACTTCAGATGTTAGAGCTTGAAAACATCCGAAGGTCTTGGGTTAAGAAGTGTCTCATGCAGAGGGGTTTCTCCAGTGCGCATGTAGATGCCCACTCCTCATCCCCTTCGATAGCCTGTGAGTCCCAGTGCAGACTGGAACACCACCAGCTACAGTGAGTAACTTGATGGAGCAGGTGAAAGAGGAAACGTGTGTTTGAATTGTTTCTGGGAAGCCTAGAAACTTTCCAGAAATAAAGGACATTAAAAGAAAAATCCCTCCCCTTTAACAGGGGTGAAAGCTACTATGTTTAAGTGGTTGTATGGTTTGGATTTTCTCTTTTGCTGCATCTTGTGTGAAGGGCATACGCAACCTTTCCTATGCACGTCATTTTGCCTTTACACGCCAAGGCCCCAGAAGGAAGGACAAACACATTGGCGTGGTGCTGCCAAGGCGAGGGAGGGCACCTTCCCCGCACGACAACCCCAACCAGCAGGCCCTCAGTGGTGCCAACCTTCTGGTGGCTGTTGCTGTTGCTCAAGCTGTTTCTTCCTCTTTGCTTCAAGAACTGGGTTTTCATACTGTGTCTTCCGGTTGATGTGGCTGGAGATGAAAGAGAGCAATAAATTAGGAGACCCTTTACGTGACAAGC